CAGTGGTGAGGATTTTTGTTTTCTTGACATTGAGATGTAATCCATATTGAAGGCTGTGCTCTTTGATCTTCATCAGTAAATGTTTCAAGTCCTCTTTACTAAGTTACCCATCCCTATTAACTCTGTGTACAGAGAGGGATAGGATTGATACTTAATGTGAAGAGTCCTTCACTCTCGGTTGGTATTTTGAGCTACGACATCCATAAGTATCATTATATCTTTTTAAGTGACATGTATGTTAACAAACTTCACAGAAGGTAAAAAGTCTTAAAGAATACTCTACTTTCCATTTTACCACCTCTATTATGAGTCCGAAGGAGCTCTGGTAGCATAGTGGTTACAACTCAGACTGCTAACCTCAACGTTAGCAGTTCGAAACTACCAGTGGTTCTGCAGGAGAACGATGAGACTTTCTGTTCCTGTAAAAATTTGCAACTAAAGAAACCCTATTCAGGATCACCATGAGTCAGAACCAACTCCATGGCTCAGCATCACTACCACCACCATTATGAGTCCTGGTGTGTTGCTGTGGGTTAATTCACTGGACTGCAAGTTCGGTTTGAATGGCAAGGTTGGTGGTTCAAGCTCACCAGCCACTCCTCAGAGACCCTATACAGGGTCGCTATGAGTCAGAACCGACTTGACGGCACTTAACAACAACAAGAACATTATGAGTTGCTAAGAAATGCAGAAAATAAGCCAGTCTCCATCCCCCTCCTCATGCAGAAACAAAAGTTGTGCAAAATTCTGAGGAAGTCAGGAGTAATGAAAAAGTAGGAAAGAAAGGCTAGCAGATGGAAATGCATGCCGTACAAAGCGAAGCTAAGAAGAATGTCTGGGTCGTTCAGAGAGGAGAAAACTGGTCTCTCTGGGGAAATAGCAGCACACTTTGCATGAGGCAAGAATGCAGAGATGTGGACTTGAAACAGCCAGTCACGGAGGAGATGAATGAAATGGGGCAAGGAAGGACCAACTACTATAGCCTGGGAGCTACACAGAAGAAATAAACCCCAGTTTCCTCCAGAGCCAGATACTGGGGGCCAACAGGCACACTAGAGACTCTGCCTCAGTGCAAAGACTGTGTCTTCAGAGTGCTTATTCAATAAAGTACTACAGCAATGAGGAGTCCTTGTGTGGTGCTGTGGGATAATGCACTGGGGCTATGAAGTCGGCTTGAATTGAAAAGTCAAAAAATCAAATCCACCAGCGGCTCCTTGGAAACCCTGTACAGGGCCACTATGAGTGGGAATTGACTTGATGGAACTTCACAACAGCAATACTTATGAAACATACTGACTACTACCAAACCCAGGCTATTATACAGAGGATGAAAGATGTGGACTGGAAGAAATACTGCTTTGGGGTCAAAGATAGCCTTTTCTTGCTAATTGTTTTTTTTTTTTTTTTTTACTAAATGCAGGCATACTGGAAGAGGAAGGAAGAGATAGGAAATAAATGGCTTTACTGCAGATGGTATCAATGAAACAAGATTTTAATTCCTAAACCACGGGCTACTTAACGACATTTCCTTTTTTGATTAGGTTATTTGCTTGGCTGATGAGGAAACACAGTAGACAGCATATCTTGGGTTTTTACAAGGACTTTTGAACAGTGTGATAACAGAATTAGGTTGATTTGTTGCTAGCCAAATAAAATTTAAAACAAACAGGCAAACATAGTTGCCATCAAGTCAACATGAGGTGGTGACCCCACATGTCACAGCAGAACTATCCGTATAGGGTTTCCAATGGCTGATTTTTCAGAAGTCAATCACGAGGTCTTTGTTGCATGGACTGAAACCTCTAACCTTCCAGTTAGCAGCTGAGCACAGTAACTGTTCGCAACACCAGGGACTAAGCATATATACAGTGCTGCTGCTTAGTGGGAACCGGGAAAGAGGTCTATAACGGCCAACTCCAGGGCTCGTTTTTGTCCAGCTGAATAGGATGGAAATGGCAAATATTTGGATAGAAATGGCAAATATTTATCAAATCTATGGACAGCAAGAAAATGGAATGTATAGCAAACTGGGGGGGGCGGGGCAGAGTTAAAACATATATAAAATCCCTTGGCATTGATATGCTGGTAGCTAAATCAACTCTAATATGATGGCAATTTAAAGGGATATGTGAAAGGTCCAATAAACTCTGGGTAAAATGCAGGATGGGGAGCTGTAGCTTAACAATGACACCTGTGGAAGAGACTCAGGGTTTTTGACTGACAGCCCAATTAACCTATCAGGAATCTCAAGAAGCTGCTGGCATGGTCCCCTTCTAGGTCCTTGTACTTAATTGTGTATAATCATTTTATATTCTTTTTCTTAAAGGGAACCCCCATATTGTGCAATGTGAAGAGCCCCTCAAAGCCTCATCCAATTGGCAGGCAACTGTAAATGCAGATGACCAAAAGTTACTTTTAGACTTATTTAACAGAAGATTTGTTGAAAACTATACAAATCATCAACTGTCATAATCCTAACCTGGCCAGTTGACCGAAAATAGTGTCCAGTTGGAATCCTGATATTTTAGAAAAATTGAACCAAAACCTAAAT